ACACCCACAAAAAGGCTAAGAACCAGGGTCCAGTCTATAGTTAAGCCCAGCAAGGTTTGCTGCCTAGAGCAGCCCTATTCAATAAAACCTTCTATATTTGTGCTGTCCAACATGGTAGCTATTAGCCATGTAGGGCTTTTAAACACTTCAAATGTGGCCACCGTTAACTGAGAAACTGAATTCTTAATTTTATTTTAATTCATTTAAGTTAATACTTTAAGTTTAAATTAATTTAAATAGCCACCTGTGGCTAGTGGCTACCAATGTAAGTCTAGAGGTTAAACCAGCCTAAATAAAGCAATTCAGAAGCCATCTATGAATTCAGCAGGGAATCTGAGAAATTAACTTTTGATACCTTATATTTTAACTCTGTTAATAAAAAAAAAAAGCAATTGCCCCTATTAAGTTCTCTCAAGCCCTTCATGATCTGACCATTCACTTCACTCATCACATTCAATTTCTGTATTCATTAAAACTGAGGAGGAATAATATAATAACCAGATCATATCCTGTTTCTATGAAAGTTTATTTGGTCTTACAATGATGAGTAAATGGATTTATCTATCAGTCACTGGACTAATACTTATTAGATTGTAAAAAACAAATGTATTCAACCAAACTGTGCCCACTCTGCACTAAGCACTAGGGATGGTATACACAGCAAGACGTAGTCTCTGCCCAAGTCTTCTGGGGACACATTTTAGCAAACGGGTAATGCAGAAGGATAACCAGTGTTAGTAGTTTAAGGAGAGGGGGTTGCTTTCTGGAGGAAGGTGTGTCCAACCCGAGGCTCAAAGGAGGGATGGCTATTCTCCAGGTTAAGACACAGTGTTAGGAAACAGGTGTTCTAGGAAGAGATAAAAGAATGTTCAAAAGCCAGGAAGACTGTAAGAGATGAATGGCTGGATTCTATAACAGAAAGTTCAGTATGACTGGAACATTCCGTGAAATGAGGAAATGACTTGAGACTAGAGGAACAAGTTTGGTCCAGGGCATCAGGACCTTGTAAAATCAAATTTTTTACTATTTCAAATATGTGCTGTTCCTTTTTGTATTAACCAGAAGTAGAAAACTGCTCAAAATGTCCAGAAGCAAAGGATAGGTAATAAGTTGTAATACACTTACAATGTGGAATACTATACAGCAATGAAAATGATTGATCTGCAACCGTATGCAAAAATATGGCTGAATTGCACAAGCATGATATTGAGAGAAAAGCAAGGCACAAAAGGATAAAAACCATATGATTCCTATTGTTTGAAGTTTAAGAAGAGACAACACTAATATGTGGTGATAGAAGTCAGAAAGCAGTTCCAATAGGTACATAAAAAGGTATATAACATCACTAATCATTGGGGAAATGCAAATAGAAAACAGATATCACTTCACATCTTTTAGAATAACCATTACAAAAAAACACACAAAAGTTAACAAGTGCTGGTGAGGATGTGGAAAAAGAAAACCCTTGTACACTATTGGTGGGAATGTAAATTGGCACAGCCATTATGAAATACTAGTAGCCCTGTGCACGAATCCATGTGCCAGTAGCTCGCTGCCGCCCTCCTGTAGCTCTCCACCTGCTGCTCCACCCTCCTGTAGCTCCCCCCGCACCCCCTACCCCCTCCATAGCTTGCTGTCCTGCCCCCTCCTGTAGCTTGTAGCTCGCTGCCTCACCCTCCTGCTGATCTTCGATCTGGTCATTACACAGTTGGTCGTTACTTAACGACCATTTGCATATTACGTCTTTATTATATAGGATAGTATAGAAGTTCCTGAAAAAATAAAAAATAGAATTACCATATAGCTAGCAATCCCACTTCTTGGTATGTATCTGAAGGAAGTAAAATCAGGATCTTGAAGAGATACCTGCACTCCCATGTTCATTGCAGCATTATTTACAATAGCCAAGACATGGAAACAACCTATGTATCCATGGACAGATAAATAAATAAAGAAAATATGGGCCCTAGCTGGTTTGGCTCAGTGAATAGAGCATTGGCCTGCTGACCAAAGGGTCCTAGGTTCAATTCTGGTCAAGGGCACATGCCCGGATTGCAGGCTCGATCTCCAGTAGTGGGTGTGCAGGAGGCAGCTGATCAATGATTCTCTCTCATCATTAATGTTTCTCTCTCCCTTTCCCTTCCTCTCTGAAATCAACAAAAAAATATTTTTTAAAGAAGTAAATAAAATATGGTATATATACACAATGGAATATTATTGAACCATAAAAAATAAGAAATCTTGCTATCTGTGACAGTAATGATGAATCTTGTGGGTATTATGGTAAGTAAAATAAGTCAGGCAGAAAAAGATAAATACTGGAAGATATCGCTTATATGTGGAATCTAAAAAAAACAAATTCATAGGAACAAAGAATAGATTGGTGGTTGCCAGAGGCTAGGGGATGGGGAGATAGAGGAAATGGGGAGATGTCAATCAAAGGGTACAAATTTACAGTTATAAGATAAATAAGCTCTGGCAATCTAATATGCGGCATGATGACCATGGTTTCTTAATCATGGTATGTCTACTCAAAACTTAATAACATCTTAAATGTTCTCACCACAAAAAAAAACCCCCAAGGTAACTATGTGAGGTAACATATGTGTTAACCTAACCTTATTTGATACTCATTTCACAATATATATGTATGTCAAGTCATCACATTGAATACCTTAAACATACACAACGTTATATGCCAATTATATTTCACTAACACTGGGGAAAAAGAAGTCAGAAAGTAGTTACAGTACCAGCCAACACTAGCTAGAAGGAAACACAAGAGGGACTTCCAAGGAGCTAGTAATGCTCAGTTTCTTTTCTTTTTTTAAATATATTTTATTGATTTTTTACAGAGAGGAAGGGAAAGGAATAGAGAGTTAGAAACATTGATGAGAGAGAAACATCGACCAGCTGCCCCCTGCACACCTCCTACTGGGGATGTGCCCGTAACCAAGGTACATGCCCTTGACCAGAACCGAACCTGGGACCTTTTAGTCCGCAGGCCGATGCTCTATCCACTGGGCCAAACGGATTAGGGCGATGCTCAGTTTCTTGATTAGGCGCTGGATACACAGATGTGTGGGATCGAGGTATGTGCTTACAATATGTACACTTTCCTGTCTGTAGATCACATTTCAGGAAAACATTAACTTAAAGACACAGAGTGTTCTTTTACTTTCATAAATTGTCAAATACTTCTCTCACTTCTTGTGTTTACCCTTTCATCACTGAATTTTAAACTCGGGCCTTAAGTCTGTATCTCGTGACAGTGGGTCACCACCCTAAACACACGTTCATTTAAATTGACGTTCTCATCTCAACTGACCCAAGTGGCTGGAAATGACCAGCTGCACTTGGGTCATACATGAATGCCTAGACTTGGCTGGTGATACTATGTGCCTCTATCACCACGATCTCTGGTATGTACACCTGACGCAGAATGCCAGGTGTAAGTTAATGAAAAACAAGGAGGGGTGGGGGGGAGTTTAATCCTATCAAGGTTTGCTAATGAGAAAAGATCAATTATATTTGTATTTTCAGTGAAGAACTCATGCTTGTGAATGTAAAATTCCTTGCCAAATCAGACAGTTGATAAAATATTGACTTAAAATGTTAAATTCTTTTCATGAATTGGTGTCATTGATCAGGGGGGAGAAAAGGTGCTGATTATCACCAAAAATAGCCCTTATTCATCGTGTATATAAGAGGGGCTCAATATAGTTTTGTTGACTTGCACTCTTAGTCAAAAGTTCTGAGTCTGTTTTCCCCTAAGCAGTTAATAGTTCACAGAATCACAGCAAAACAGAGCCAGAAAGGTCATATAGAATACACTCTGTTGTATCATGAATGGCATCTCAAAAACTTGAAAGTATCGTGTGCATTTAAAAGCATCTGATGACATTTACTTGCTGTGGGTGATGGTTTCTTCATCTGGAGGCTCCCATAAATAAGCAACCTTGGTGTTCCAAAGCCCAGAGTAACCTTGAGAATAGCATGCTAAGGGAAATAAGCCAGACAGAAAAAGTGAAGAGCCCAGAGCATAGTCTTAACATGTCACTAGAATCTAGATAATAGTATAGTGCTCAAGCAAAAAAAACTATGTCAATTAATGAATTCATCTGGATCCAGAGGAGGATTTTAGGAAAATGTGAGTCAATTTGCTATGCCTAGGAAGCTTGGCAATGGGCTAGGCTCTGCCTTTCCCAGCTACATCTAAATCAACCACTGCTCCTCACACTCACACTGAAATAGCACTGCTTGTTAGGCCTCAACACCAAGAACAGTATAACTCCAGCTTACAATAGGTTACTTCTTTTAGAAATGTTATTATAAAATCATTCATACATACAAAAGGAGATAGATAGATAGATAGATAGATAGATAGATAGATAGATAGATGGATCCTATCTGATTAGGTTTAAATTCCTGCTCCATATCTTGCTGGGAGATTTCAGAGGCATAATTGGACCTTTAAATTTTCTCATCTGCAAATGGGATTAATAATTTATTTCATAAAATTGCTTCAAATGAATAGCATTAGCTAATGTATACAAAGTACTTACCACAGGTATAAATGTGAGCTTTAAAATAATAATAACAATAATTATAATAGTTTATAAGACATTATTATTAAAACTTGCATGGCTTTGTATTCAAGAAGTTCTCTTGCTGAGAGTTGACAAAGATTTTCTAAGAGAAAGTGACCAGAGCCTGAATCTTGGTTTATCACCTTTGGTCACATGTTATCCCACAACTCTGAGCTTCATGAACTTCTTTCTCCCAGTATTTCCATCTACTGAATAATTCATTTCTGCACACCGAGATTCAAGTTAATATTTAAATTCTCCTCTCATGTAGGAATTATATTTATTATTTACTATGTTTCATTGATTTACAAAATTCCAAGGGGGAGGCACGTCTGTCGAGCACAGTAATAAATGTAAATGTTGAACAGGTAAAGAGAAGATCCAGTGGAGAAATCATAGCTGACAGCTCACCTCTGTTCTCGTCACCTCTGGTGAACCAGGACGCATTCAAGTCACAGGTTCTGTTCAAGGAGAAATGCCTCATAAACAGGTAGTAGGGGAGGAAAGCATTTAACCAAAGCCAGGTAGTCTCCACCGAAAAACAAAACTAGGAAATTCTAACCAGCTTTTAAATCTGTGGATGAGATCATTACTTAGACTGGGGTACTCACATTGATTATTCCCAGTACAGAAATAGTAAGCACAGCGCTCTTCCTCTCGGGAGCATGCTGTACCCTTCCCTTCCCCCCTCCTTCCCTCAGGAGCCTTACCTTTTCCCCTCTGCTGAGCTCCAAGGGCCCTTCTGCCCCTGTAACTGGTTTCCTGAGCCTACACAGCCCAGCTGGCTCACTTCTGCTACCTCTGTAACTCTCTAAACTTTCTCCTATAATTTAAATTTTAAAAAGTGATAAGCGGAAAAATACTCTAAATGGATGAACTATAAAACTTTTAGAAGAAAACAGGGGACAAGCTTTATGACATTAACCTCAATAATAATTTCACAGAGAAGACACCAAAAGCACAGGCAACAAAAACAAACAAGGGGACTACATCAAACTAAAAAGCTTCTGCACAGCAAAGGAAACAGTTACCACGGTGGAAAGCAACCTATGGATGGAAGATAATATTTGCAAACCATATATCTGATAAGGGGTTAATTTCCAAAATATATAAGGAAGTTCTTCTACAACTCAATAGTAAACAAATAACCTAATTTTAAAATAAGCAAAGGACTTGAACAAACAACATTTTCCCAAAGAAGACATACAAATGGCTAATAGGTATATGAAAAGATACTCAATATCATTAATCATTATAGAAATGCAAGTCAAAACCCCAATGAGATATTACCTCACATCTGTTAGGATGGCCATTATAAAAAAAAAGAAAAGAAAAAGGTAAGTGTTGGCAAATGTGTAGAAACACTGGAACCCTTGTGCACTGTTAGTAGGAATGTAAAATAGCGCAGCCCCTATGGAAAACAGTGTGGAATTTCCTCAAAAAATTAAAAATAGAACTACCATATGATCTAGCAATCCCACTTCAGGATACATATCCAAAAGAATTGAAATCAAGATTCCAAAGAGATATCTGCACTCCCATATTTATTGCAGCACTGTTTACAATAGCCAAGACACAGAAGCTACCCAAATGTCTGTCCATGGATGAATCGATAAAAGAAAACTACATATATTCTCAAAAAAAGAACACTTTAACAGTTGATAACTCACTTAATTTTTACTCCTTTTCAGGTTTAACTGATTTGAAATAATGGGTGAAACCAGACTAAGCTTTGAACAAAGACAATTTATTCTAAGGTACCACTAGACTTTTTTTTTTAAAGGGGATACATAAAATATAAAGTTTACAGTGCAAAACTGGCAACAGTCGATGAATTGAAGGAGCACAAATACTGAATAAAATGATTCTTGATGTTTGTGATTCCATTGCTTCCCATTATCAGCAGTGCCTGGACCAGAACAGTCATCAGTTTGAAAACAAGCATTGACAAAAAATTATTCATTTCTGTAGATTCTTTGAAAATGAATTGTGTGTTAATAAACACTGAGTTTATAATCTTTCAAAGTGCATATACATTTTTTGGGACACCCTATATATAAATATTTAGTGGACTATTATTTAATCTTTTTTTAAAAATATATGTTTTATTGATTTTTTTTACAGAGAGGAAGGGAGAGGGTTAGAGAGTTAGAAACATCAATGACAGAGAAACATCAATCAGCTGCCTCCTGCACACCTCCTACTGGGATGCGCCCACAATCAAGGTACATGCCCTTGAGCGGAATCAAACCTGGGATTCTTCAGTCTGTGGCCGACACTATCCACTGAGTCAAACCGGTTAGGGCTAATCTTAAAAAGGAAGGAAATCTTGCCATTTGCAAAACATGGATTAACCTGGAGGATATTATACTAAGTGAAAAAAAAATCAGACTCAGAAAGACAAATACTGCCTGATCTGACCTTTTTGTGATTCCAAATAGTCAAACTCATAGAAGCAGAGAGTAGAGTGGTGGTTGCCAGGGGCTGAAGAGACAGGGGAAATGTGGTGATGTTGGGTCAAAGGGTACAAAATTTCAGTTATGCAAAATGAATACGTTCTTGAGATGTCATGTACAGCATGGGGACTATAGTTAACAGTACTGTATTGTACACTTGAAATGTGCTAAGACAGTGGTTCTCAACCTTCTGGCCCTTTAAATACAGTTCCTCATGTTGTGACCCAACCATAAAATTATTTTCATTGCTACTTCATAACTGTAATGTTGCTACTGTTATGAATCGTAATGTAAATATCTGATATGCAGGATGGTCTTAGGCGACCCCTGTGAAAGGGTCGTTCGACCGCCAAAGGGGTCTCGACCCACAGGTTGAGAACCGCTGTGCTAAGAGGATAGATCTAAAATTAAGTCTTCTCACCACACATACACAAAAGAAAATGGTAACTATGTGAAGATGATGAATATAATCATTAGCTTGATTGTGGTGAGCATTTCAAAATGTATATGCATCAAAGTAGCAATTTGTACTTTAAACATATACAGTGCTTACATGTTAATTTTATCTCAATAGAGCTGTTTAGAAAAAGAATGATAAGCACATTGCCTTCTGAAAGTTGTGTTCAGAGATAGATACCAGCACATGAACTCAACCCCAACAAACACAACCACTAAACAAAACTGGTGGGACACTTCTTTTTCCACTTTTAGAGAAGAGAAGAAAGAAGGAATAAGAACTGGCCCACAGCATCCTTGACTGGAAACTCCTAGAAATTCTTTGCATTTAGTAGTAATAAGGAGTTGATTTATCTACACTAGTCATTTCTACCCTGGCTGCACAGTAGCATCACCAAGGGAACTTTCAAAATATACTGATGTCTGGGCCTACACCAGACCAAATAAATCAGAATTTCTTGGTGATGAGTTTTGGGCATAAAATATTGCTGTTATTTTATTTTATTTTTTTAAATATATTTTGATTGATTTCAGAGAGGAAGGAAAGGGAGAGAGCGCAATATACATATCAATGATGAGAGAGAATCACTAATTGGCTGCATCAAGCCCACAACCCAGGCATGTGCCCTGACCGGGAATCGAACCATGATCTACTGGTTCATAGGTTGATGCTCAACCACTGAGCCACACTGGCTGGGCACTTGCTGTTATTTCAATGTCTTGAGGACCTTTAGTAATATTCCCTCTCTTGTTCCTGACATTGGTAATCTGTATTTTCTCTCTTTTTCCTTTAATCAATTTGTCTAGAGTTTCCAAAATCTATCAATCTTCTCAAAAAGCCAGGCTTTTGGCTTCACAAATTTTCTCTATTGCTTTTTTGTTTTCTATTTTGTTGATTTCTGCTCTGATATTTTCGTTTCCTTTCTTCTGCTGACTTTTGGATTTAATTAGCTTTTTTCTGGTTTCTTGAGGTAGAAGCTTAGGTCATTAATTGTAAGTGTTTATACCTTTTTATTATAAATGCTACAAATATCTTTGTAAGCACTTAAAAAAAAAAGCCTTAGCTGCATCCCACAACATTTGATTTGTCACATTTTTATTCAATTCAAAATATATTCTTAATTCCCTGTGACTCCTTTGGTCCATGGGTTTTAGAAGTATGTTTAGTTTCTAATTATTTGAGGATCTTTGAGATATCTTTCAGTTATTGGTTTCTAATTTAATTCTGCTGTAGTCAAAGAACATACTTTGTATGATTTGAAACCTTAAAATTTAATGAGACTTGTTTTATGGCCAAATGGTTTATTTTGGCAAAACTCCTGCATACATGTGAAGATAATGCGTATTACACAGTTGTTGGGTGGAGTGTCCTGAGAATGCCAGTTAGGTGAAGGTGGATGATGGTGTGATCAAGTCTTCTGTATCCTTACTAATTTTTTAACTACTTGTTTTTTTAATTATTGAGAGACAAGTGCTGAAACCTTTAACTATAATTATGGATTTGTCTATTTGTCCTTTCAGTTTGACTAGTATTGCAGCATAAGGTTTGTTTTTTATTTTAACTTTGCAGATGATTCTAATATGCAACCACAGTTAAGCAATGTTGCTCTAAACCAGTGGTTCTCAACCTTCCTAATGCCACAACCCTTTAATACAGTTCCTCATGTTGTGATGATCCCCAATTTCATTGTTACAAATTGAACATAATTAAAGCATAGTGATTATCACAAAAACAATATGTAATTATATATGTGTTTTCCAATGGTCTTAGGCCACCCTGTGAAAGGGTCGTTCGACCCCCAAAGGGGTCGCAACTCACAGGTTGAGAACCGCTGCTCTAAACCAATAATTCTCAAACTTTAACATGCATCAGAATTTCTTAGAGAGCTTATTAAAACCCAGATTACTAGACCCTGTTCCCAGAGTTTCTAATTTAGTAAGTCTGGAGGAATTTGCATTTCTCAGAGTTCCCAGGTGATACTGATATTGCTTGATCCAGAAACCACACTCTAGTTCAGTGATGGCGAACCTTTTGAGCTCGGTGTGTCAGCATTTTGAAAAACCCTAACTTAACTCTGGTGCCGTGTCACATATAGAAATTTTTTGATATTTGCAACCATAGTAAAACAAAGATTTATATTTTTGATATTTATTTTATATACTTAAATGCCATTTAACAAAGAAAAATCAACCAAAAAAATGAGTTCGCGTGTCACCTCTGACACGCATGTCATAGGTTCGCCATCACTGCTCTAGGATCACAGACTAGAAAGACAACTATCATGTGATTTCACTTAATGTGGAATCTAAAAAACAAAATAAATGAACAAACAAAACAGAAACAAACAAATAGGCTCAGAGAACAAATTGGTGGTTGCCAGATGGGAAGGGGGTGGGAGGGAATGGATGAAAAAGGGGAAGCGATTAAAATGTACAAATTGCCAGTTATAAAAACAGCCATGAGGATGTAAAGTACAGCATAAGGAATATAGTCAATAATATTATAATAACTATGTATGGTGTCACATGGGTACTGACTTACCAGAGTTATCAGTTCATAAATTATATAAATGTCTAATCATTGTTATATACCTGAAAGTAATTACAGGTAAT